GTTTTTTAACATTTTCCTTGTTCGTATGCCTTTTAATTTGGCTTTTAAAAAAGATATCTGCTTCAAAGTGTGATCCTGACTTATCATGGTGACTTTCTCTTTCCCTGGGCTAGATTTCTCCCAGGCTCTTTTGAATATCCCAATAATGTGAGCTCAAAGCAAAGACATATGACCTTGAGGACATGTACATTTTAGTATTTTTTGGTAGAAAAAAAGTGAGCAGAACTGTACATTCTTTTATTCCTGTTACCTTCACCTCCTTTGTTGTAAATGGCCAAATGTCAGTGCCAAAACATAGAAAGACAAATGCATTGCCCTCTGATCCAGGGCACTATTACCCTCTGAGAAAGCACAACTGATGATCTTGTTCTGAGCTGCAGGGTTGAAGGCATTAAGAAGTGAAAGCACCAGATTATTTCATTTATTGACATGTCTTCTATTTGGAGTCTACCAAATGGGATGGAAAATCCATGTTCCCTATCATAGTACTCTAGAATAGCCCATTCAAAATAGGGCATGAAGTAATTGAGCATTTTATGTGCGGTTAGAAAATGGTGTTTAAAAGAAATGTCATTCTCTCCATGTTTCTATCCAAAGAGGGAATCATTTTAACTTTCCACCCCAAGCAGATAGATGCTCTTCATGTTCAAAGAACTGGAAATATGCTAATCTTTCAGCCAGAGCTCAGTACCAGAGCAGGGGACAAGTGAGGGCCAGGAGAGCCCAGCTGATGAGTGCCAAACTTAGGGAACCAGGGAGCTCTGGCATAAAAAACGTTGAGTCCAGCATCAGCCAGAATTTGTTATAGCTTTGGAGAGATTTAGGATATCAGGTCTTTGAAGAAGTACCGAAGCAGAAACTTCTTTGTAGTAAGAGCTCTGGAACAAATGTAAACCATCTAAACATCTCAGCAGAGAACAGGCAGGTGCACTGGGAGCCACATCTACTAATCCATTGAGATGTACATCCAGAGACAGCTATCTGAGAGAACCTGGCCAGTTCTTACCTTGCTGGTTAATTTAGAATAGTATAGGGATTATGTGTGGGGGCTCAAGATCAGACCAATAGGCTTATCTCTTGGGTCTGCTGTGCAATAACTATGTAAACTCTGTTTCTTCAACTCAGTTATGCTATCTTTAAAAATTATGAAAACTGGGGCCAGCACTGTGGCTCAGTGGGTAAAAATCCTCTCTTCTCCTCTCCTCTCCTCTCCTCTTCCCTCCCCTCCCCTTTCCTTGTCATTAGAACATGATTGTGTTGGTGGTGATGATCAAGCAGAGGAAGAGAAAGTGATGATGCTAGAAGCAAAGGGAATTTCTTGAAAAGGCAAGAAAAAGGCAATCCTGGAGCCGGCACCATGGCTCACTTGGTTAATCTTCTGCCTGCGGCACTGGCATCCCATATGGGCACCAGGTTCTAGTCCTGGTTGCTCCTCTTCCAGTCTAGCTCTCTGCTGTGGCCTGGGAGGGCAGTGGAGGAGGCCCAAGTGCTTGGGCCCCTGCACCCGCATGGGAGACCAGGAAGAAGCACCTGGCTCCTGGCTTCGGATCAGCTCAGCGTCGGCTGTAGCGGCCATTTGAGGAGTGAACCAATGGAAGGAAGACCTTTCTCTCTGTCTCTCTGTCTCTCTCTCACTGTCTATAAGTATACCTGTCAAAAAAAAAAAAGTAATCCAGAGCCCAGGCAGAATAACTGGCACTTAGTAGGAGCTAGGACACCCTATCTGTTGTAATGGGAAGGATGACAGAGTATAATTGTATCCGTTAGCTTTGAGTTTGGCTATAAGTAATGCAAAATCTTATCTTAGGGGCTTAAATGAGGAAGGAGTTTGTTTTTATACTATAAGAGGAAGTCTAGACGCTGCCGTGTGTGGCTGGGGCACTAATCAAGGTGTCCTGCCTTCCTCTGCAGGATTTAGTGGATGTTCCCTTCCTCACAGTTGCAAGATGGTGGCTGTCTCTCCAAACTGTGAGTTCTTTGAGAAAGAAGGATGGGGAAAGATAAAGAGCAAAAGACCAAAGGATGAAAGGAGCTTGCTGGCTCAGTGTGGTGCCTTTTTTGGTTAATGATAATTTTTTTTTAAAGAGAATATTTTTGTTTGAAAGGGTGATGGGGAGAAGGGAGGAGAGAAAGGAGAGACCAAGATCTTCCATCTATTGGTTCACTCCTCACCTCCTTGCAACAGCCAGGTCTGGGTCAGGCCCTAGCCAGGAGCCCAGAACTCCTTCCAGGTCTCCATCATGCATGGCAAGGACTCAAGTGTTTAGCCCATCGCTTGCTGCCTCTTAGGGTGTGCATTAGCAGGAAGCTGTATTGGAAGTGGAGGTGCCAGGACTTGAACCAGCAGTTAAGAGATAAGAGATGCCAGTGATTCAAGTGACAACTTTACCTGCTGTGCTACAATACCCACCTCTAACTGCCATTTTTAAAAATTTTATTTGAAAGGCAGAGAGAGAGTGGGTAAGAGAGAGTGTGTGCTCTGGTCCACTGGTTCACTGTCTCCACCCCACTCCACCCATGGCTGCAACTCCAGGGCTGCACCAGGCTGAAGCCAGGAGATGCGAACTCATTATAGGTATCCCACACAGATGGCAGGAGCCCAGTTACTTGGATTTTTTAAAATTTTTTTAAACTTTTATTTAATGAATATAAATTTCCAAAGTACAGATTATGGATTACAATGGCTTCCCCCCCATAACGTCCCTCCAACCCGCAACCCTCCCCTTTCCCACTCCCTCTCCCTTTCCATTCACATCAAGATTCATTTTCTATTCTCTTTATATACAGAAGATCAGTTTAGCATACATTAATTAAGATTTCAACAGTTTGCTCCCACACAGAAACACAAAGTGAAAAATACTGTTTGAGTACTAGTTATAGCATTAAATCTCAATGTACAGCACACTAAGGACAAAGATCCTACATGAGGAGTAAGTGCACAGTGACTCCTGTTGTTGACTTAACAAATTGACACTCTTGTTTATGGCCTCAGTAATCACCCTAGGCTCTTGTCATGAGCTGCCAAGGCTATGGAAGCCCCCTGAGTTCACTGACTCTGATCATATTTAGACAAGGCCATGGTCAAAGTGGAAGTTCTCTCCTCCCTTCAGAGAAAGGTACCTCCTTCTTTGATGGCCCATTCTTTCCACTGGGATCTCACTCATGGAGATCTTTCATTTAGGTTTTTTTTTTTTTTTTTTCCCTGAGTGTCTTGGCTTTCCATGCCTGAAATACTCTCATGGGCATTTCAGCCGGATCCGCATGCCTTAAGGGCTGATTATGAGGCCAGAGTGCTGTTTAGGACATCTGCCATTTTATGGGTCTGCTGTGTATCTCACTTCCCATGTTGGATCATTCTCTCCCTTTTTTATTCTATCAGTTAGTATTTGCAGACACTATTTTTGTTTATGTGATCCCTTTGGTTCTTAGTCCTATCATTACGATCAATTGTGAACAGAAATTGATCACTGGGACTAGTGAGATGGCATTGGTACATGCCACCTCGATGGGATTGAATTGGAATCCCCTGGTATGTTTCTAACTCCACCGTTTGAGGCAAGTCAGCTTGAGCATGTCCCGAATTGCACATCTCTTCTCTCTCTTATTCCCACTCTTATACTTAACAGCGATCACTTTTCAGTTAAGTTTCAGCACTTAAGAAGAATTGTGCATTGATTACAGTATTCAACCAAAAGTATCAAGTAGAACAAACAAACAAAATACTAAGAGAGATAACATATTAAGCTGCTCATCAACAGTCAGGGTGAGGGCTGATCAAGTCACCGTTTCTCCTAGTGTTCATTTCACTTTAACAGGTTTCCTTTTTGGTGCTCAGTTAGTTGTCACCTATCAAGGAGAACAAGTGGTATTTGTCCCTTTTGGATTGGCTATTTCACTCAGCATAATGTTTTCCAAATTCCTAACAGTGATCACTTTTCAGTTAAAATATAAACACCCAAGAACAATTGTGTGTTAATTACAGAGTTCAACCAATGGTACTAGAACAAAAAAAATACTAAAATAGATAAAGTATTACATTGTACATCAACCGTCAGGACAAAAGCTGATCAAGTCACTGTTTCTCACAGTGTCCATTTCACTTCAACAAGTTTCCCCTTTGGTGCTCAGTTAGTTGTCACCAATCAGGGAGAACATATGATATTTGTCCCTTTGGGACTGGCTTAATTCACTCAGCATGATGTTTTCCAAATTCCTCCATCTTGTTGCAAATGACTGGGTTTCGTTGTTTTTGACTGCTGTATAGTATTCAATAGAGTACATGTCCCATAATTTCTTTATCCAGTCTACTGTTGATGATCATTTGGGTTGGTTCCAGGTCTTAGTTATTGTGAATTGAGCTGCAATAAACATTAATATGCAGACTGCTTTTTTGTTTGCCAATTTAATTTCCTTTGGGTAAATTCCAAGGAGTGGAATGGCTGGGTTGAATGGTAGGGTTATATTCAGGTTTCTGAGGAATCTCTAGACTGACTTCCACAGTGGCTTAACCAGTTTGCATTTCCACCAACAGTGGGTTAGTGTCCCTTTTCCCCCATATCCTCTCCAGCATCTGTTGTTGGTAGATTTCTGAATGTGAGCCATTCTAACTGGGGTGAGGTGGACCCTCATTGTGGTTTTGATTTGCATTTCCCTGATTGCTAGTGATCTTGAACATTTTTTCATGTGTCTCTTGGCCATTTGGATTTCCTCTTTTGAAAAATGTCTATTGAGGTCCTTGGCCCATCTCTTAAGTGGGTTGTTTGTTTTGATGTTGTGGAGTTTCTTGATTTCTTTGTAGATTCTGGTTATCAGCCCTTTATCAGCATAGTTTGCAAATTTGCAGTTACTTGGATTATTACCTGCTGTCTTCCAGGGTGCACGTCAGTAGGAAGCTGAAATTGGGAATAGAGTTGGGACTTTTACCTAGGCACTCTGATATGGGATGTGGGCGTCCCAAGCAATGTCTTAACCTCCGAACCCAAATACTTTCAGGATCCTACCTGAAACACTTCCCAGAAGCTTCTCCCAGTCATCTCTGCTTATATCTGATCAGCTGGGTTACATGATCATCTCTATCAGCCTATCAGCCTGTTAGCCAGAAAGAAGAAACAATATGTATTGGGTAGGCAATTTACAGAGTTTGCTGCTATAATATTTGCTAGTCATAGACTTTTTGTGAAAGAAATGGATCAAGAGATCTTTCATTCAGAATCATGTCTTCCAAGACAGTTGTTTTAAAAAATAGATGTATAGACTTAAAATCCTTTAAACTTAACTTTGATGATTGGTTTCTTTACCTTAATAGAAACCATGGTAACATCTGATTTATACACTCGAGAAGCTTTCCCCTTCTGTCTTAGAATTTCCTCTCAGATGTGATTTAATCTCATTTCTTTTTGTTCAATCTTCTGCAAAGATGGAGTAAAACCAGTCAGCATCAATCAATTACCTGGATCCTTGAAATAGTGTGAGCTAGCAGCAACCTTCCAGTGAATTAGTGGGAATGGGCATTTGGGAGATCACATAGAGGTGTAATTCTGTTAGAGCTTATTGAGGGAATTAGGAAATACAGAGTGAGGAAAAGTGCACATGGCTTTTATTGGAAAAGAGCTGGTTGAGCACACTCATACAAATGGAAAGGGCTATTATATATGGGTTTTAATGATGAAGATGGAAGTTTGAACACTTACAAAAATGGAAATATTCTAAATACTCAGATAGACTGCATAAAGATGATTCCAAGCCAAGAGAAAATGGTTTAGAGGAGGGAGAAAGGAGACCCCAGTGCTTCAGTGAAGGCATTTCTGTGCCTGAATTAACCGAGGTTGCCATGTGTCAGTCTCTTCTGACAGTTGGTGTTTTTCTGGGTTGGTGGTTTTTATCTCCTGTGTGTGCTCATTGGCAGGGTGAAGGCTAATACTGGGCAGCCATTCTAAAAGAGAAACATTTTAAAATGTCATCTTTTGGCGAATTTTTCAAGGATGCTTTAAAAAGTGGAATTAAATGTCCTTTGACATTCATTTTTTTTTTCCTTTCACATATTGTCCTTGGCCTAAATGCTAGGCAAGTAAATTGATGTTCTATTCTCATCTTACTACAGGCTTCAATTTAAGAATGCTTAAAAATGTTGCACATTCTCCAAAATTCGTTTAGTCGGTATGTGCTTCTCTTCCTCATCCACACCAGACACATGCACCCATACTGCAGAGTATTGTTTACATTAGTTCTGAATCTAAGCCCCTATCAAGTCTCCCCACCCCACACCCTCTGTCAGGATAGAGTAACAAGAACCTCTGCCAGGTGAAATAGCCATCTATTGTTAATGAGACTTGTGCACAGCAGATTCTACTTGGAATGCCAATGAGTATTAGATTTTTTTTTTTTCAATTGATTGGATAACAGAAACCAGAATGCCTGAGTATTTGGAACTATAAAAAGGCTTTGCTGTGGTTTAAATGTCTCCTGGATTTCATGTTTTAGAAACTTAATCTCTAGTGCAACAGAGTTAAGAAGTGGGATCCTTTAAAAGATGATTAGGTCATCAGGGTTCTGTCCTCATGAATGGATTCGTGTTATTATTGGAGGGTGGGTTTATAATGAAAGTATGTTCAGTCTATCTATCCACCCCTGCACCCCCCACCACATGATGTTTTCTACTATGTTTTTATGCAGCAAGAAAACCCTCACCAGATGTGGCTCCTCAATCTTAGAATCCCTAGCTTGCAGAACTGTAGGAAATAAATCTGTTCATTATAAATTACCCTGACTGTGATATTCTACTAGGGCACATAAAACAGGCTTTAACATTAAGCATTCTGCAGACTGATTTTTTTTTCACTAATTGTATCTGTATAGTTCAGAGAAGGTTGTATTTGAATTGATGTTGAAAGATTATGACAAGACAGAAGGGAAAAAAAAACATTCAAGTTAAGGGCACAGTGAGAGTGCCGGTAGGCAGGCAAGGCATTGCCCTGGATGCAGAACAAATTACAAGTAATATGATGAATTTAGTGCATGGGGTTTGATGATGAAATACCAAAAGTATCATCTTCCAAAGGCAACTATTCTTGAAAATATGGTGTATTACTTTACATTCTTATTGCTACACATATTCACCTATCCATCAATCCATCCATCCATCCATTTACACAAAAATATTGTAGTTTTATGGTACTTTATATAGACTCAAGTTTCTAGGGGGTTAGAATATGCCATCCTCGAATATGCTACATTAGCATAAGGATTATTTTGAGTTGAGGGATGTTGAGAAGCAGCAGGTATGGGAAAAACTCTCTTCCTTCTCCTTGTTTTCCTAGAAGTAGAACACAGATTCACTAGGACAAAGATGTCCTCCTCTCTACCATGAGGGACAAAAGTGAACCACTGAGGACAACTTTATACCTTCATATCCTGGAAGATGTCACCAGAGTAATCTGCACAACAAGCCTTACTATCTAGATTTATCTGCTATTTATTTACCTTCCCACAATTTGCCTCCACTAGAGACCCTTTTATTTTTTCCTACCTTTGTTGAAGGTGTTCTATGAGGTGGAAATTAGTCACTGTTTTGAGAATTACTCATTGTATGGGTATTTTCCATATATATGAAACATACATGTTAACAAACAAATTTGAGATGCAGAGAGGGAGAGGGAGAGAGAGAAAGGTAGAGAAGGAATGAACTCCCATCCACTGGCCCATTACCAAATGCCCCAACATCTGTGGCTGGATCCCGAAAGTGATAACTCAATCCAGATCTTCCATATGGGTGGTGGGAACTCAACTATTTGAGCCATCATCACCTATATCTCCCAGAGTTTCCAGTAACAGGAGCTGGAGCCAGGAATTGAACTCAGGCACTCTGCTGGAAAGCTTCATCTTACCAGGGTGGGCTGGGTGGTGGCTGCCATGGCTACTGCCACTGGTGGCTTTGACTGAGGGAGAATTCCACAGTGCCCACTGCCCCACATAGCCTGGGGAGCTGGTGCAACTGCTTTGCTCCATGAAGGGAGGCAACATTGCCTCCCTCTCCTCCACCCACTGAAGCACCAGTCTCAATTTGCATAGGTAGGTCACAAACTGTGTTTGATCTTGGGGAATGCTGCGCAGTCCTGCTGACAGAGGGTGCTGGGTTGAGGTAGCTTACAGGGGAGAGAGTAGACCTCTTTCATGCAACAGCTGTGAGTTCTGGGCATAGGCTGTGGTCCTCAGAGGGTTCCAGGTTGTGCCTGGGTTGTGACTGGGTTCCTGTGCTTCCGCCCAGTGTAGCATTAGAGACTTGGAGCTTTCTGTAGGCTGGGACTGGATATTGCAGAGGGGTTGGGGATATGCTGTGTGGTAGGGTGGTACTCTGGATGGTGTGAGTGCCTGGGTGAGTCAGGTGTGCTCGTGAGCTCACTTTAGGTAGTGAATCAGCTGCTTCCCCCTGGAACAGAGAAGGGCTTAGACTGTGAATACTGTATCTGGCTCCAATATCCCTTGCCCCCACTGACTGTGGCCAGAGGTACTCTAGCATGCCCATTTAGGCAACACTCTGGACTCTTTACCTGACCACAAATGGTGGCCAGAGCTCCCTGGCCCCACCAAACCCATACCCATGCCCTGGGAACTAAAGAGTAAGGATTAGGCATTTCACAGAGCCACAGAAACACATTTTGAAGAACAAAGTCTTCAATCAAAAAACAAAGCAAAACAAAACAAAAAACAAAGCCCATCCTCCAGAGGAGATAGAAAAGAGTGCTCCCTCGAATGTCTAGAAGTCAACGTAGAAATACAAGAAACAGGAACGAACAAGGCAATATAACTCCCCAAAAGGAACACAATATTACATTAATATTGGACTATGAAGAAGAGGAGACTGATGAAATGCTTGAAAAGGAATTTGAAAGAATGATGGTAAGGTTACTCAAGAACAGAGAACTGGATGGCAAGATGGCTGAATAGGGCAAAGACATGCTGATTTTGATGCAGGAAGATAACAGAAGAAAAGGGGAGAAACTGCTTTCCCAGGGCACAGTTGGAGAGTCGTTTGCAGTGGAAATTCTATAGAAATAAGAGAGATGCTGTGGAGCAGCTGGGATGGTACAGTCATGCAGCACTGAGTGGGGAACCACTGGCAACTTCTGCAGCTGGTGACTGCAAGGAACACCATCTTACTGAAGTGAGGTGCGAGGAACCAGTGGCAGCCCATGCCACCGGTGATATTGCCCGAGTGAGAACCTTGTGCTCCCCACTGACTTTGAGTCAGGCCTGAAGTACTAGAGGGGGCAGGGTGCCCACCTAATCCTGTGAAGGGAGAGCAAATTTCATTCCTCCCTCCCCTGACAAAGGCACCCAGCAACCAGCAGGGAGGAAGGGCCATCTTCTCTCCTCTCCTCTCCTCTCCTCTCCTCTCCTCTCCTCTCCTCTCCTCTCCTCTCCTCTCCTCCCCTCCCCTCCCCTCCCCTCCCCCTCCCTCCCCTCCCTCCCCTCCCCTCCCCTCCTCTCTCCTCTCTCCTCTTTCCCTTCTCCCCTCCCCCCTCTCTCTTCTCTTCTCTTCTCTTCTCTTCTCTTCTCTTCTCTTCTCTTCTCTTCTCTTCTCTTCTCTTCTCTTCTCTTCTCTTCTCTTGGCAGAGTTAAAATGAGAGAGAGAGAGAGAAGTGCTGGATCACTCCCAAAATGGCTGTAATGGTTGGAGCTGGGCCAGGCCAAAACCAGGAGCCAGGAGTTTATTCCAGTTCTCCCATAAGGGTGCAGGGGCCTAAGCACTTGGACCATCCCCCACTGCCCTCCCAGGTGAATTAACAGGGAGCTGGATTGAAAGTGGAGCAGTTGGGACTTGTACTGGTGCCTGCATGGGATGCTGGTGCTGCAGGCAGTGGTTTAACTTGTCGCGCCACCATACTGGCCCCGTAGCGCCATCTTACTAGGGTGGGTACAGGCTGCTGTGGCCCTTGTGTGACTAGAGGATTTTATCAGAGATTAATCTGTGGTCCCCACTGACTTTGAATCTGGCCTGGAAGGTTAGTGGAGGGGTCGGGTGGGGCAGCTGCTTAGGCTTGTGAAGTGTTCCTCTTCCCCACATCTTATCAAGGTGCCCAAGCTCAACTTGCTAAGGCAGAGCACTGACCACTTCGATTGGGCAGGCAGCTGGCTATGGGAATGCTGTGGCTCTCTGTGGACAGGGGGAAGCTCACGGGGCTGCTCCCTGTGACTGCTATAGAGAGTGTAACATGGCTGGGTCTTTGGGGCATCACTGTGTCTGGCTTCGGAGACTTAGAGTTCCCTGGGTGCTGGAGTGGGTCATGACAGAGGGTTCTGTGCTTACTCTGAGGAGCACATAGATCCTTTGTGTGCTTCATGTGCCTGTGTGGGTGGGGTACATAAGCACTGTGGGCTCACTCTGGGCAACTGGTTTACCTCTTTGGGAGAGACAGGCTGGGGCAGTGATTATACCAGCCAATGTGATCATACCCTCCCCTGCTGCTGACAATAGAGATCTACCATGCCTAACTTGGATGTCACTCTGGAGTCTTTCCCCACCCTTGAGCATTGGCTGGAGCTCCCTGGTCACACCTAGCACACACTTCCAGATATCCCCCGAAGGAGAAGACATTCCATTAAGTCATAGAGACATATTTTAAGGACAAAAGTCCTCAGAGAGGAAAACCAACAAGTGTTTCCAAATGCTTAAAAATAAATATAGAAATATACGAAACATGAACAAGAAAAACAATATATAAATCCCTCAAAGGAACACAATAGCACTTTAGTATTAGAATGTGAAGAAGAGATTGATGAAATTCCTGAAAAGGAATTAAAAAGAATTATCATGATTACTCAAAAACACAGGGATGTGAATACTGAAGTTAAACAAATCCATACATGACATGGGTGAGAAATCCTGCCAGGAGATAGAGATATTGAAGAGAAATCAAACTGAAATATTACAAA